ATTGTATAAGTTTATTACACACTGTGTGTGTTTCATATATATATATATATATAGAGAGCGCCATCAGAACAAATGAAACGAACAAAATATATACTATGTACGCGCAAACTTATGGTTTTAAAGGGAATGCAAGAATAAAGGATATTAGTATTTTTTATTTATTTTGACTCATTTATCTCATTGTTTTTTTATTATTTATGAGTTATTCAATAAATTAATACCTGTCATAATAATAAATAATGTGCTAATTATGCATGGAATATGCAACAACATGGTACGATAACAATATCATATAAAACCTGTTCTCCGAACCGATGTGATAATGGCATTATGGTTAAAATTGCGTGTAACAAACGTGCATGTATTCTGATTTTCAATTGAATTCTATTCTATCCCGTATTTTTTTTTTATGCGCAATTTATAATAAGTCGCTAATGTAACGTCATACCGCAATTTCCATAAATATGGAATGAATTTTGCATAATATTGTATCGTAGCACGTTGTACTGTCCGACATTAAGCGATGCGTAAGTATAAGATAAATGATTATCAATGTGAATATCGACTTGCATGAATTGAAGAATTACATGCAAGTATCGTCGTAATACCGCGAACTATGATGCATTGTTATTACTAATACGTAATCGCTCTTCACGCTCTTGAACACCGATTCTCACACTTGCATACAATTACCGATTGTATTTTTATCGCTTGAGATCCTTAATTTGAGGTCCATTTATTACTTATGTTTTCAGGATTGTATAATTAGTGCAAAAATGTACGTCACGTAGCATGCACTATATTTCAGAAGGATGAATGAGCAATGTGTTTATGTAACACATTACCTTGCAGGAAAACTTCATTTTCATTGCGATTCAACGCGCGCAGAAACGCACGTTGTACATTTTCTCTGCGGAAACGCGGATGTAGTATTTTGCTCGAAATCAAAACACTCCGCGCGCATGATATGTTTCCAATTATAGATATATTACAGAAAGGACTAGAACTATTACTTTTAACGATTGTGATGCAATTAAATAGAAATAATCTCCTTTGGGCGAAAGCTCAGCGCGTTAAATCCCTCGGGGATTAATTACGTGCAACTAGCTTAGGTGGATCTCTCGGGTAGTTTGTAAACGAAATCATATCACAGCGATATTTCTCTTTGAACGTTGCTGATCAAGAAGGCCGCTCCGTTCCGTTGTTCTATATCGACGAGGTTAAAATAACTTTTATCATCGTCGTGTATCCCGGTTTCTTTCTTCCGCTGGCTCCATCGGTTTATCGGTTTATCGATCGCTTAAAATTCACGGCCGATATCACTTCAGCCAGCCACCTGCGTTAATCGTCCTCTCGTGTCTAGGAAAAGATCGATCTCTTTCTTTCTGAGAACTTTGAGAATTATTGAACGACGATCTATCTGGGCAAGGAATCTTGGCAATCGCCGTTTATCACGGGTAGTAACGCCAAGTCCATGCTTCCGACTGGTTCCGTGGCATCGATTCCCCGTATCTTTTGTACTCGATGCCAGACGAAATCTCTAATGGGTCTTCGCAGGACAAACAGACCGAAGATGAGGACCCCTTGAAGCGCGTTCACCAAATCGAACGCCGACCAGTCGAGAGGGTCGCCGCCAGCCCACCAAGAGATAAGTTCCATTGTCCAGTTGAGACCCATAAGGAAAAAGAGCACTAGGCAAACGAAGAAAGTCCGCTGGAGCCTACGGAAGAGCCTTTGATCTTCCCGATCAGAATGCTGATTCCTGGCTAAGCGTCTTAGCGCGAGTTCTTGCTGATATCTGCTGATCCTGACGGCAGTGATTATGAACAGGACCATATTCGCCAACAGGAGGAGACCGATAGGTACGTAGAAATATGGCATGGCTTCCGCGTCGGCTGTAAAAGGAGCGTAATATAATTAACGCTTTCATAGATATCTCACGAAAATGTTAAGCAAAACAGAAAGACAGAAAATTTGAATTTCTATGATTTTTCGTTGATGATAATAAAAATTGTTAAAATCTTTCATCGAGATAATCACGACTTCGAATCTCACATGTCTATTTTATGACACTGGAAAAATGAGGTATTGGAAGAAAGGTTTCTTTGAAGTGCGACATTGATGATGCATTTTCGGTGACGGGCATGGGACGTACGATTACGGGTGTTTTATATATATATATATATATATATATATATATATATGGATCGAAACTCACACTTGAACCAACAGCTATCGCTACCGAAACTGGGCTTGACGTAGGTCATGGGTATCGTGGGACTGAGATCCATCGCCATCGAGATGAGAATGAGGACGGCCGACGGACCCCAAGCCCATATCGAGTAGTAGAAGAATAACGTTTCAGGCTCGATCCTTCTATATGAGCGCTGGTTCACGTGGTGGCATACCAGCAACCATGTCTCGATGCACATCACGTTCAGCCAAAAGAAGCAGGCCACGAACGAGAACTGGATGACGAATGCTGAAAACGACGCCGGATTAAGTCTCTCTTAATCGATCTGTCTGTCACTTACAATGTCGTCATACTTTTTAAAGTAAACTACCGTACTACGCGACGTCGAAATGAAATTATATCGCTCAATAAAAATGATAGTCCAAAGTCCGATATTCAGACTACATTGTCTACTATCATGAAAAATCATTAATTTCAATTTGTTTTATCTTCAAATATCTATAATGATGTTTTTGTTACAAACTCAATCGAGAAGTTAATTCGATTAAATATTTAAACGGCGTGTAGGCAATAGTAAAAAAATTAATCAATAATCATAATTTACGATAAAAAAATCTTTTATTATTTTATGTACTTTTATGCAATGGTGACATAATGTATATGTCTCGTTGATGATTAATTATCTTACCTATGCTAACGCAGACTTGAGGCGGCAAATACGTGCTCACGAGTTGCGTAATGGCCAAAGTGGTGAAGGCTAGCGCCAAACAGCCGCAATAGTGGCAAAGGGCTTTCCCGTGCATGTCCCTCAACCTCGGCGTTATCACATAAGCCGCAATAGTAAGAATCAGGAAAGGAACTGAGATCAAGAGCCCGCAGGCGTAAATGGTCACCCGCGCATCTGCAGTCTTGTTGGCGGTAACTGTAATCGTTACATTCCATTAAGGATTATAAGTACAAGAAAATTAAAAAAAAAATTGTGCAGTTAATAAATTATCGATCTTCCGCTCGCATATAATGTACTTTCTATTAAATAATCCGCTATACGAATAATAGTTATTTTCTCTACAGATTAAAACTCTACAGAGGAATCCAAGAAGATTATCAACAAAGATCGAATATCGTCGTACAAAACATGCGAACTAAATAAGATATGGATCAGAGATAAAGAACATTCGGGAGGATTTTCTTCCTCGATCTCGATTGTTTCGGTACAAACCTTCGGGGAAACAGACGAGTACTCGAAGTCCCAGATCAGGCACAACTTCCATGCAATAGTTCTTACCGGGCATCAGCATAAGCGGTGTACGATCGATTCGCGGCGCGTAGATAGAACCATTCATCAATAAGTAATATTCATCCTCGCTGGTTTTCTCCGGATGCAGCATGTACCTGCAAAATTCCTTCGTTAAATACGTGCGCGAGTACATGCAAACTTGGAGCGTCGACTTAAGAAAGGTGCTTGAGTCGAGTTTTACTTTGAACACTGTATCCCGCACCAGGATACACACACCACGAGAGGAGAGACGTCTTTCCGAGAAACATGTTTCTGTAATTAATCATGAGAAACGAGTTTTGCTGATGTACTGGGAAATAATTTCTGTTCAATTATCACGGAAATAGTGATAATATTGCATTTTGAAGAAGAACAGAATAAAGTATTATTTATCAAATATAATAGCGAACGTCACTCCTCAATGTCGGATCTATATATCCAGTATGTCTAACAGAAATTGATGAATAAAGCTACTCAAGCCTAGATCGACTGAACCATGTTACAAGAATATGACAAATATTTCATCTTATCAATCTTATGAGAGAAAAATAACATAAATTTAATAAACATAATTTTATCTGCAAAAAACTCATTAAAAATTATATCTATTTATTATTTAGAAAAATAATGTCGGCTTTTTAAGAAAATATAAAAGCGTATATTTTTAGAATATACGCTTTTATTTCGCTAGCTTTTCTATATTTAAGTACCCTATCTTCTCAAAAATATTTTAGATTTACCAGAAAAAAGTTTCTCAAAATTCATCTGGTGTTTAAATTCGTTTAAATGCGCAGATCGTGCTTGGAATCTTTATCATTCAAATATATTTATAAAACTATTACATTTTATCCATTTGTATATTTGTATATGTTTTTTATCAATAGTTTATTAATAATAGCGATGTTTTGTTTTCTATCACTGTGCTATATATCTGATGAGATTAAACGTCGCTTTGCGTTTTCATTCTCAATTATTATAGTACGATATAATTCCTTTTTATTAAAAAGAAAAAAATTACGTACTGGTGATACGCTATCTGCCGCATGGGACTGGCAATGAGTGGATGCTAACAGTTTGTAAATTACTTTCAATAAGATATGCAATTGCTTCTTCGATGTGTCATAAGAATCTATGGAATGCAATGTCGAGAGTACAGTTATCAGTATGTAACGTCGATTATATTTTTATTCGATCAAAAGAGGCATTATGGATAAATTCACCTTGTAATTTTCATGATTCGAATGGACTCGGTATTCGAGTTGACAGGCTGATTATTTTATTACGACCACGAAAACGAAGTCTTATCGTAGAATATATGGCCAACTGGCGTACCGATTTATTGATAAGGATATCGATAATACGAGGTTTATACATTTTTATATTATGTAACGGATGATCTTCGGTAAGATGATTTGTAACATGGCTCTTTCGACAGATCCGACCCAATCTTTGCAGATCCTTCTGTGCATTTTCCTGATACGTACTTTTGATCGCAGGGACTTCCCACAACAGCGACGAATGTCTTAATCTCGTCGCCAGGTATCAGCACACCGGTGCGATTGAAGTCGCTGAAGAGAGGTGAAAAGTGCATCGATGAGTCTTTTGCAGGGGCGCAAATGCTATTATTGGCCGCGTCTTTTATGAGGATCTCGTTTACGGGACAACATTTCGCTGCTAACGGTAGATGCTGATATTCCTCCGGGACTGACGTCTCATTTTGCTAAAAACAAAAATATTAAACGTGTTTTACGATATTGCTGGTATTGTTGAGATAACGAGTATTTCGATTCCAAAATTCGAGGAAGAGACACTCGAGACGCGTAGCGAGCGCAAATGGGAAGATAATGATGTAAATGATGACACAAATTGTGTTGGTATTGTAAAACTTGTCGCTTGTAGAAACTGACTTGAGAGATTTATAGACAGAAATTTGAAATCGGGCAAAGGGCATTCGAGATTTTCTTACGATTTTCTTTCTTTAAACAATCCTATTACAAACGAGCGTAGACTGTTGAGTAAACACCATTGAACGCGTCACGATCTATAAATTAATAAATTAACGAGTCTTCGAATAATCTATAGCGTTTATATCGATTCGCATCGAGACGCGTTCGTATAAAAGTCATCTTTTGGACTTTTTGTTTTGTTCAGTCTCATCTCTTGATTTTTTTTTATTTGCAATCTCGCGGATCAGGAAAGTTCAGATATCTGCATAAAACTTTTACAACTGATGGTTATCTGGACAGTATCAAGAAACTGAACAGCATCAATAGCGGTTACTCGGTCTAAATATAACTCCGCGAGAGAGATTGCTAAATACGTGAATCTCAGACAAATAAATACACGACTTAAGCTCGGCGGGAATCATAAATGTCGAAGATGTACTTACCAATGGGATAGGATGTATGGTGGGTATCACGTCACTCGCGCGCGCAATTGGCGCCGATAAGCACACGAAAATGACACAGACGTCGGCGAACCGCATCCTGGACGGTAGTTGCGTCTTATCAAGAGTCTATCGAGTCGATCGAGAATGTGTGTTCGAATCTCGCGATCGGGATTTAGATTGCGTCAACCTCTAAATTAATATACGCGTCGAGCACTTCGCGTTGAACATAATCGAACTTTGGATTTTTCAATTGTTGAACTTTGTGTGAAGTGGAAACAGCACGGCCTTGCTCCGGATGCAATACGAGGCGATTACTCCAGGCAACGCTCGTCCCGGCGATATTCAGACGAGACAGACGGCTTTTGCTCCTCTTTCGTCACTCGTTATCGTTACTAGATCTTGCACATTTATCTCGTCACACCCTGCTTGCACTGGCCGATAAGTCTTCCGTGTAATGCGGGCGTTATTTGCCTGACTGGTGCCAGATTTAATTCAAGATTTCAGTCAGCTTTCTCTCTCGCTCTCTCCTTTTCCCCTTAGTCAGTTGGCTGAGTTAGTCAGTCAGGTAAATCCGCAGTTCTCGAGAATCATAAACTTGAGATTAACGAGGTATTATCGATTGATTCTCCAACGACCACCTACTACTTCTCGTTCGTTATCTCGCGCTCTCACACATAAAACTTTTTCAGTGATCTCTCCAGCGTGAATGCACGTGTCATCAATCACATTTGATATGTTCGGTGTGAGCATTAAGTCATCTGGAAATCCCTGCTGGATCCTGCGTGGTCCAAAAATACCTGAGACCTGTTGTCAACGTGAAGATGTTATCGTTACAGTCGGCACGTCGGTTCGATTTCGCTGAAGTAACGTCGCTCGGGCGAGACTCGAGTCGAGACTTTTGAAGAAACGACCTCGAGATCCCCGCTCATTTGCGCAGCTATTTCGGAGGGCCGAACCGGATTAAGGCAATCTACCCGGCACGACGGAGACGTCACTTTCGAGAGAATCGGGAAAAAAATGTCATATCATATCAAGATGACAAGCAGCCGCCCGATGGCGAATGTCATTGACCTGCAACTCCCGTCATCCAAGAAGCGGATTGTAAAGCACGGCGAGCGGCGAACCTTATCGTAAATCCTGCAGTAAGTTTCCGCTCATTGACTCATCCTATTATTTTTTTTCTCCCGTTCCAAGGCCTTCGAAATTGACGTCTCCGCGAGCGAAGCGAGAAGAGGCGAACTTACGTGTGATCGTCGAAAATTCCTTGATCCTGTCAAAAACAGCGCCCACGTGCATCAGCTCTCTCAATGAATTACCGAACACCGTGTATAACAGATGATCGATTGTCGAAAATCTACGCACACGTAGATACGCATTTAATCGTTTAATCTCCACCAAATCGTATTTTTCCCAGTCAAAGTGCGATAAGTCTCACGATAAGTCGTGGGATCGATCTTTCCGCAAGATTTCCTATTTAGTCAACCGAGTTTAGTTCCTCGTATTCGCGAGCGTTTTCCGCGAGATTGTTTTCCTTTCCTCTATCAGTGACGTGAGATCCTTTTAATTGTGATAATTATCAGAGACCGACAGCGTGCCCGGCGATCAAGAGGTGTCACGTGGCACACGATTCGGACCGATCGGCGTCCGAGAACTGACTGGCTGAATACCTCAATCCGCTGATGCTTTTATCGAAGGAGGGATAGAGGGGAGAGAGAAAGAGAGAGAGAGAGAGAGAGAGAGAGAAGAGCGTGATGCACGCACTCCGACGAACGTGACGATGGTTAAGCTGGTACATACGTACGAGCGGACGTGATATATACCAAAAGTATTTTACACCCGCGTTATCGATCGTCGTGGACAGATATTTGTTCGATCTGGTTGATTCGCTAAATAATCGCGTAACCCGCCGTTCTCGGAAGGACCATCCCTTAGGGTGACTTCCAAGCTCTGATTAATCGGCGATTTATTTGTTCGATAACTTATTAACACAGATAAAATTGTTGATTTTTGCGCTTTGCGATATGAGCATTTGCCTTGAATTTACATATTAATATAGCGAGGAAAAATTATTCGATACACTAAGATCGGCTGTCGACCGATTAAGGCCATCTACAATTTGATTGTTAATTTTTGGTCGTTTAGCACGAAAGATTTTGGCACGAATTTTTTTCATTGAAAGATTTGATTAGGGGGAATTGCGTAGTTGAAAAATTGTACTCCAAACAATGCTGTGCAGCAATCGCCGGATGGGTTAGTCAGAGTTTAGTTAAAATCTTTTTTTAGGAAGATGATAAAAATAGCGAAGCTCTAATTATCTAATGCTATTTTTATCATTCAATGCTGTTGCGCTCGCAAGTAAATGCATCGTACGTCATGAATTACGCTTTACAGTCTACTTACCTTAATTACGTGCATTCGTAACATTGCACGTAAAGCGTAAATACGTCAATGTTTGCAGAAAACGTCACGTGTAGCACACGTCACATGAGTCACACACGTGTGCGTCGCACATTCATTAAGAGTCTTTTCAATGAAAAATTACAAGGAATGCCCAAATGAATGTCTCAATATTTGGCAAAATCGTCCGTTTATCTTAATTAGAGACGAATCTATCAAATCGATATCCCGACCTCCTGTGAGAAAATCCAGACTTATCATTCGACCATCTGACGCAACGTACACATTTTTTAAGATAACACGAGTACTCAAGTATTATAACAACATTATTGCATTATACCATTATCAAGATTAAGAACAATGTAAATACATCGTTAAAAAATTTTAGAAATTTTTATGCGCAACCAACGGTGTACAGCTGTGCGCAAAAGATGAAGTACTCTTTACTTTGAACTAATTTTGATTTCTTCTTGAGTTTTTTTTCTTTTTTTTCGATAAGAAGGAAGTAACTTCAAGTTATCCAGTAAAAATCCCGATACTATCTTATAAGAAATCATTCTGATGAAATTCATTGAAAGCGACGTAATCTCCAGCCACGTCATTTAACCAGTTCGAGCCTCCAAAGAACTTATTGATACAGATTTCAAATGATTTGAGTGACGGTTCTTCGAAGATTTCATTTAATCGAGTTTCAAGTCGGACTTTCCGCGTATTTGCATGTGAGCTTTATGTACATACGATACGCAGCAGGGTGCAACAAACGGAGTGCAAACGAAGGCTGCGTGGGCGTTGGGAGATGTTATGGTGAGGCATAGAATTAGACTATGTCTCTATTTCGGTTCGTTAACAAGTCACACCTAACCGATTTGGATGATCTTCAAAAAGCGATTATGCAGTATTCTTGTAAACGTGGTTTAGACTCGACGTTCCGAGATAAAACTCTCTTCCTGTCATTACATTAAAATGACAGGAAAAGATAGACAAGTCTTGTTTTAAATGAGAAAACCCGTGTTTAAAAATTATTCGTTTTACGTCAAGACGTAGCTAGGAGAATAGTATTTTTCTTATTAAAGAAGAAAAAAATATGTTTATACGATCACTATCTAGATGTAGATGTAATCTGATGAACTATTAATAGCGCTAAATGCAAATTCATGATTAGCGTTATCGTGTTTCTATTATCTGAAGAACTCGGAACTTGTGCTGGACTCGGAGTTTGCGAGATTCTTTTTAAGACAAGAATTATTTACACACAATATCCAAATTCGGACGGATGGATTCATCGTTCGGAAGTGAATTCGACTTTCGCGTGGGCGGCGACTCTGGGTTTACTTTAGCTGGACTAAGTCCGGATTACAGTCCAAAGATTAGAGATGTAGAGATATACGTCGTGACGTCACAGACACAATAATTTACTTTTCACATAATGCTATAGATACGTTAATTTCAAGTTTCAACGTCAATCATAACGTCATTCGTATTTGGGCGCGATTTCGAAAAGTTCCGAATATGTGATTATGATTGATAAAACTGCGGGCTCCGGAACTAAGCTATAAATATAAAGTCTGACGTAAAACGCGCCATCTCTTTCTAAACGCGAGTCGGAGAAGAGAGAGAAAAGAGCCGAGCATATGCGTGTCTGGCGAAATGAGAGATGAGAAAGCATAAGCTCGATAATATGTTCAGAGAGAGAAAGGCGCGTAGGTGCGCAACTAGGAAATCTGCATTAATGTCCAGGACTTCTTACACGGAAGGAAGTCTCAAGTCGACGTCATATAACAAGAAGGATTCTATTAATTCTATTGCGTAAAATGAAATTTCCGCGGAAAAATCTGTATGCATAAAAAAATAATGTTCGATCGTAAATCAATTTGTAGTTCACTTTGTTCACTTTCCTGAAAAATTTTCCTTTAGACTGAATTACATAATTTTTATCAAGGAAAGATAACAAAATTGGAAAAACGTGAACATTTTCTAGTAACGTTTGTATGAAACATCTAATATCTAACATCTTAATATCTATAATATTTTAAATTATTTAATCCTAGTCTTAAGATTTCATTTAAAAAGAAAATTGGAACTGAACAAATAAAACAATTTACATAAAATCTTTAATAAAATTTTTAATTTTTATTTTTAAATCTAAAAACCATGTAGAGTTTTCAATTAATTAAAATGCTAAATAAATCTAAGTAAATCCTTTGACAAAAATTTCTCTTTAATTTCTTTTGATGTTGTTCCTTTTTCCACTAACATTCCAATTGGCCATACAAAGTATTTCTAACAGATGGGAATCTATATTCATATTGTAAGATTTCCAAAGGAGAGTTCTTTTATACGTTAGACTTAATCTTAAACTCAACATTTTTTTAGATTTTATAAGTTTTTCAAATAAAAATTGAAACTTCGATGGGCTCTCTGTGGTCTTCTATTATTTCAGATTTAGTTGCAGGACTTAGAAGTTAGAACGAGATTTTAGATTTTGAGATGCCGTTTTATTTTAGATATGACATAGCAATAGCTGTTTGAATTTAAAAAAAGAGAAGAAATTTTAAACAAGTTTAAAGTTTCATTAAAGTGCATAAGAATGTTCTTCCGTATGAATAGGAAAGATGTAATTTACATGATTAATTATGAAGATTACGATATACCTTACGTGAAACAGATAGATTGAAAACAAGAATTTCTTAACATAAAAATCATACAAACAAAATCACTTCCATTCATTCAGTCATTACAGAATATAGATTTAATTTTAATCAATGATTCATAATCATTTTATCTGATATTCAAGACAGAGTGTTAACTATTTGACCAGTAATTAAGAAGTATGACAGAAGGTGTTATTATTATGCAATTTGCGATCACTATTTTTTAATTACTCAACATCGCTGATGATGATTTTGAAAAAGATCGATGCGTTCGAATTAATTATGTTATAATAAACTAAGTTTTTGTTTTTAAATAGTTTAATCTGTGCGCTTACCGCACCGACTCTCATTTTTGTAATAACTTTTTAAATAAAATAATTTTACAGTTTCTCGAAATGATAGAGGATCTTGTATTTTAAATAAACAATCGGACTAGTTATCTTTCGAAATTCGAGAAGGAAAGTTCCACTGTTTTTATGAAATTAAAATTTGATAATTCAAAATTTGACACTTTGTATCTGATTGTTGCACAGTAACTCTTCTTCTTTAAAATTATATAATCTTAGATAATAATAATAATAATAATAATAATAATAAT